GTTCTTATCCCTAATTTTATGATTATAGCACTACTATTGGAGTACATAAGAAGGATCTGTTTTTATTTGCTTGATGATGAGTAAAAAGGAGACATCACCATTATCACATATGCAATAATCTTGTGGGTAATTTGATCAACTTGGGGGAAAAACATGCGCAGACCACAGAAAATTTCCTGTGTCTCATCCATAAATGAAGGTTCCCTTTGATAAACTGACATCACAATCATCATCACCATCAATCTTCAAATCACTTGAAGATTTCAGAGAAATATGATTAGAAGTCAATTTTAACAGTAAAGGCTCTGAACGAATCAAATTATACTAATAAGCACTTATTGAATGACAACTATGTTTGAGACACACAATCTATAAGCTGTGGCAATTTATTTTTTAGGCAGAGTTGCCTTGATGATTTGATGTGTCAAGAGACAACTTCGGTATGGCTACCCCAACAACAGGATGGATTCCAGTTGCACAAGATGTCAAAGGCTGTGTGAATGCGGAGATAACTGGCTCCAAGCGAACATCTCTGGTTTCCACATTGCTCAGATCCTCTGCCAGAGCAACATATTGAGTCTTGACTTTCCATTGCAAAATATTTCTGATAATTTCAAACAGACTTATATCTGTTTATTTTTCATTGTTGTCCTTAATAAGAGGTGGACGCTTAGAAGGGACCAAATTAGTAACCAACAATCAGTTACTGGATTCTGCCACTGGCTGGTTCACCTCTCACAAACCTGCTTTGCCCTACATGCTGAAAGGAGACATTATTCACCTATAGTATCATCTATGACATCGCTGGTTTCGACGCCCAGCTCTGCGTGTGAGAAATTTCTATACCAAGTCATTGGACTCCACTTCTTCCCTCCTCCCTCAGTCACCATTTTAATCCTTTCCAATCTACTTCTCTCATACACATATTTCCCCCCATTCCTGTTCCTCCTAACGGGGCTGAGGTACAGTGTTTTATGGGCATATCTGTGTGCACGTATGGGTGAGCTGTTATCCTGAAAGCACATGATGCCAAGCTTTGGCTGGCTACCCATGTATAAACATCACTTTTAGAGGTTACACTCTATTCAAAATTATAACCCATCTCCCTATAGACGGCACTCCATGTCATTAATATAATCTCATGAATCATTAAAGAGTACAATTATTAGATTCTGTACTTCTAACCTATACTCGCATTTAATAGTTGGGGGTTATTTGTAGTCCCTAAACATGGACACAAAGTTTTAATTGCTTTGCCATTGTAATGAATGTATACAATTTATACACAGATCAACGTACTGGCTAAATTTGTGCATTTCCTGAAAATCCAAAATATCAGATAATGTTAATTTCTTGACACATCAAATCCATCATCAGATTAGGTTACAGGCATAGAATTTGAAAGGGTCTGTAACTCCTTTCCCTTTCTCTCTCCTGTTTTTGTCAGCCTTCTTTTGTAATTAGTGATATTATGCTTTTTGCATAATTAAGAATTAGAGTAATCCTTTGATAAACTTAGTAACATCTCTCTAACATTGTCGTTTTCAAGGCCCCTGTATGCTTGAAAACCAAGAAGGTAACTGGAATTTATGTGCTTCCTTTGGTTCCTTTGGTTCTGCTTTGTATTTTACTGTCTCAGATTGTCTGATTTTATCACCAGGTAGTGCGTCTGTGTGTATGCGAGTACAAGCTAGGGCCAGAGGAGTCTCTCTCCACATTTTGGCTTATTTCTTCTCTATGCAACACATGTAACTTTGGACTTATTTTTCAATTTAGGATCTGTAAATGTCTCAGAAGTAGTCATTCAGTGACTACACCCAGCCTCTCTGAAAATGTTATTATTATTTTTTTAATGTTGATTTCTTTTGAGAGAGAAAGTGTGAGCAGGAAAAGGACAGAAAGGGAGAGACAGAATCCCAAGCAGGCTCCCCGCTGTCAGCCTGGAGCCCAATGTAGGGCTCAATCTCAAGAATCATGAGATCATGACCTGAGCCAAAAGCAACAGTTGGACACTTCACAGACTGAGCCACCCAGGCACCCTTCTGAGAATGTTATTTACTTAGCAGTAGTGATGGCATTTTGACAAGAACTGTGCCTGCATGTTGGCAGCTGGTAAGAAGTAGGTAAAGTATGGTCAGAGTGGAGAGGACCTTGACTACTAAACATGGGAACTCCTGGGTGATTTTTATTAAAATGACAGTAAGTACAAGAGAAGACCAGTGTAGGCTGGAGGAAAGAAACCCTGAAAATAGGGTGACTAATGAAGAAACGATTGGAAATCAGGTGTGGAGTGACCCCCTCTTCCATGCTCACAGACCATCGCGAGCCACTCAGTGCTAAACATAATGGTAAAGGGAGATGGACAGCTGTGACTTTGCCTTATGGTTCAGGGCAGCTTGTCATGGTCAGAGGAATCCACAGGTCTGCTACGTGAGACTCTAAAGCATCAGACTCTTACAGCAGTAGGCAGCTGCGGACCAAAGCATGAGGGCCCAGAGGTCACATCACTGGACTCTCCTGGGCAGAAATCAGAGCAACTACAACATCTTACGGTCTCCTAACTCAGAGAAGGGGACTGACAGAGGAAGCAGAAATAACCCCTAAATACTGTGAGGCTTTTTAGCTTACTCAAATGTTTTCGTCTTTTCTTCTGGAAGAAGACTGAAGTAACTAAACCATGTATGTATTTTTTTTAATCCAAAAGGTTTACTTTCTAAGATTCATGTTGGACAAATGACTCATCACGTGAGTTTTAGAAAAACAGAAGTTACACAAATGTACTCCTGGGATGTAAAAGCCTGTCAAACACACGTTGTGTAGAACTACATTCCACACAGTGTAGAACTACAATAAGGTATATAAAATATTAGATTACCAACAGGGAAGCACCATATGGTCAGATGAGGACGTGTAAATTATTATCCGCTGTTATATGAATGTAAAACCAAGTTTTATTTGAATTTTCGCCAACTGGAAATAGTCCAGATGGCCTGGCTTCACATGTTGCTCTGGACTAGAAATAATGTTTAGTCTAGTGACTGGCAGGTAGCACCTCAAAGAGATAAGTGAGTCTCCTTCCTAGCAGTTGCAAATAATGGTTTCCCCCAAATTTTCTTTGCAAATGGTCAAATGGGAATAATTAATTCAGAGACAGTTAATCATTCTCCTGAGCCTTGAGGGTTAGGTTAACTAGTGTATAAGTATGAATAACCAATGTTTAATACTCCATAATGTAATTACTGAAGTAAAATTTGAGTCATAAAAATATTTAAAATCTATTATTAAAGAAAGATGTCATAAGAAAGTCAAGTGTTTACACATATTATTTCATAAAGAGAATAACCTTAAAAAATTTAAGTTCTATAGCGTGTGCTAAACATTTTAAGTTAATTACACATTTTCAGTTTTGCATCATAGTTCAGTTTTAAAATCCCATTTTAAGTTCAAATAGAAAACATATGTTTTCATGCCATTCTATGAAAAGAGACGGCATATAATTTTTTTTTACCATTTGTTGTCTAATTTCTCCAATTTTGCCAACAGTGTACTGGAGTAATTTTGAAATGCTTTTTATTTGTAACATTTGAGGTTGTAATTGTTTTCATCTTTACTTCATTGTACCACCACTTTTGCTGGTAGGTGAGCATAATTTTGCCACAGTTTAAGTGTATTTATTGGAAACCAAGAGACTTTAAGTTAAAATTTATCACATCTTCAAACAAAACTTGCCATTTAAAGTCATATTTCAGAATATTATTGCTCGGAATAGCTTTGTTTTTATGGATAATACATAGATGAAAAAAATAAAGGCTGAGGAAAGACTTTTCCTGGGCTCAGAATAAAGACATTCCATAACATCTGGCATAGACCACATAATTTTACTTGAGTTTTAGTTCACTTGAATCCTTGCAGTAATTTTCCCCTCATAACCACTAGACCAAATACGAAACATCTAATTCCTTTGGGCTTTCCTTTGTTTTGGTACTAACCAGTCCCTAAAGCAAGATGATCCCAATGACAGTGGGTGAGTTATCGTCCCCTCCCATTGAGGCATCACTTTTGTCACATTTGTCCAGAGATCCTTATTGCCTAGCTCAGGAACAGGCACACAGTGGGCACTCCACAAATGAAAACTCCGTAAACCAAAGAAGAAAGGAAGGCGGCAACAGTAAACTGGAACCTATTTTAAATGGCTTTAGTGACACTGTTCAGCGAGGTCAGCACTGGGCTGCGATCACATGGAATTATCTCTGAATCACAAGATAACTGAGAGAAGCCAGCATGCCCTTCGGCTTCTATCATCAATCCAGATAGTCAAAATAAAATAGGTACTTTCATTTCAGGATATACTGTGGCTATCTGGCCACTGAACGGCATCACATTAAAAAGGTTATGGAAACTGAAGAGATACTTATTTTAAGTATCTTTTGGACTCCATAGATCTCACCCTGAATACCGAATCTCAGAAAATCTAGTTTCTTCCCAAATTGCCCATCCACTCAGCAAGCTCAGGGTTGGCATGAGAATTTGCTTCCTTAGAGACCATGACTTTGGGGGCACCTGGGTGGCTCAGTCGGTTAGCCTCCGACTTCAGTTCAGGTCATGATCTCACAGTTTGTGGGTTCGAGTCCCGCGTTGGGCTCTGTGCTGACAGCTCAGAGCCTGAAGCTTGCTTCGGATTGTGTCTCACTCTCTCTGCCCCTCCCTTACTCGCACTCTGTCTCTGTCTCTCTCTCAAAAATAAACATTAAAAAAAAAAAAAAAAAGATCATGACTTTGAATAGTCTTCCCAGAAACACAATTTTGGTAACAATTAAGTTAGCAAATAAATGTAACATTTAACAAATAATAAAAATGTTAAAGGCCACCAAAGTTGAAGGCTGCAGAAATCACTCTCAGTAAAAACACAGACTAAAATTCCAAATGGCTGCAGCAACTCTCTTCCTGTGGAATCAGAACATAGGTTCAAACCTGCAAATATAGTTGTGGTTACTTCCTACCTTAAACACATTGATAGGGAGATCAATGACCACATAGATAAGGTCTCCAAGAGCAAGGCTGGCTATCAGTGCGTTGGGGCCATTCCTCATGCACTTGTTCTGGTAAATGATCCTGAGCAGAGTTGCATTCCCTACCATTCCCACGATGAAAATAGTACAAGATATCACAGTGTTAATGTATTTGAAAGCTGAAGTAATCTTAGTCTGCTGTGGGCAATAGCTGTGCATTGAGCCATTGCTAGGTAGGGCCAAATTCGTGGGTTGATGAGTGGTGACGAGGAAGCTGAGTTCTGTCCCATGAAAAGTGGTGAAATCATCCACCGGAGTACTTAGGTTTGTGCTGTAGCTCTCAGGATTATCACTGATCACAGATCCAACCAGCGCTACCCAGAAGGATACCTTGAGGCCAAAGGTTTCCATCGTGATGCAAAGTTGAGGAAATGTCTCTTAGTATGTTGCCTTTATACCCTCACTTCTTTTTTCACCTGGAAAAGAAAGAAGGAAAAATAATTGGTTACAAAATCCAGCGGACAATGGTTATTCACTGCTTCAAATAAAAAGTAGTATATATTTGGTAATTAGATAAGATCTGTCCGTGTCAGGTTACCCCATGTCAGGGAAAGAAAAAGAAGATCAAAGCTCCATTATGGCAAATTCTCTTTATCTCTGTCTCTGTCTCTCTAAGCTCCTCTGCTTCCTTCTCTTTCTCTCTCTCATCTCCAGCCATAGCTATAGTTATATCTAGATTATAATATGGATGAGAATATATCAGTTTTTCCTTTAGTAGATCAAAAGTTACTTTTTTCTCTCCATTACATTGGCTGATAAGAACCTGAATTACAAAACTCTTCAAGAGTTGACATACAAAATTTTATTTATTAATGGAAGAAAAAAGGCATTATTTGCCAAATAAAATTTACATAGTATAAAGGCATAAAATTAGCAACTTCTATAACTAACGATTCTATATTCCAAAAAGTGTACTGTTTTGCACATGGTAAATAATGAACATGGGAATAAAATGTAGCACAGGTAGTTATTTAAAATGTCACAAAATGCTCTTTTAAAATCAGAACTCTGGCTAACACCATCAATACATTTATCAATCTTAGTTTTTGATTAAAATTATATAATTTTTACAGACAAAATATTTATTTTATTGAAAATCCTGATGATTAATGTGTACAATCCACCTCTCTGGCAGGAATTTTTTTCTCTCTCTTTTCCATTCTTCAGAAATTATTATCCCCATACTTGCCAATGAGTGAAACTGGGAATAATGTCTTTCCAAGCAAGGCACAGAATTTGGCTTTCCAAGGGCTGTCTGTCTCATGCTTTCTTTGAAACATCCTATGTAGTTACATTTATTACGCCAACTGTGCTGAGCACTTCCCATGCATGGTGCCGTCTAATGCACGCCATGCTCCTGTGAAGTTGATAGACAGTTTGATTATAAACACAGGGGACCAGAGGCTCAGTAAAGGCAAGGAGTCTTCAAGTCCACAGGCGGTAATGGCAATGTTGATTCTAAGGTGGGTTCATGGAACTCTGAGCCTGAGCTCTTATCCACGAGACAACATTATCTATCTCTCATTTTCATGCCTTCTTAGCACCTACAATGTTTCAATGGAGTCTCCCAGAGTTTCTATTAAATAACAGATTCGGGAGGGTGATTACATGTTTTCAAAGATCATTTATTTTGTTTGTTTGTTTAAGGGACTTGCTGATAGCAAGTTGTCCTTCTTGCTCAGAAAGTCTAGGTTTCTACTTTAATCCTTAAAAGATATTGGAGGGGCACTTGGATGGCTCATTTGGCTAAGTTGTCTGACTCTTGATTTCAGCTCAGGACATGATCTCGTGGGTTTGGGAGTTGGAGCCTCACCTTGGGCTCTGTACTGATAGCATGGAGCCTGCTTGGGATTCTCTCACTCCCTCTCTCTGTATCCCCCCCAACCCCCATAATTCACTGTCTCTCAAAATAAATAAATAAATAAGCAAATAAATAAATGGTTTTTTTAAAAGAAAAGATGTAGAGGGAAATGAGGGAGTTGGTGGTAAAACAGTAATCAAAGGTAAATAAAAAATAGCTCCTCCCATTTAAATATTTTGGAAATTTTCTTCTCTGTGACTTTTTAATGATTCTTTAAATGAAGACCATAACCTCATTAATGCAGTGGCATGTGTCTATGATTTATATGCCCAGGTCATAATGTCATTTTTAAAAATTGTGTCCTTTTTCTTGATCTATTTATGGTTGGGTATTAACCATTTTTAGGAATTTTGAAGTTATGCTGGGAAATCAATAGAGCTTAAGCTTAGACAATATGTCGATGAAATAAGATTTATTCAAGTTTTGCAGAAGATCTAAAGTAAGTACAAGGTGCAAATACTATATACTTTTGCCTTCCCCTGAGGTTTTTTCCAGGAACCTGAAACAATAACACTGTATGCATATTAATAATTTATTATGTATGCATCTGTTATCTGACTTGAGCTTTACAAGTCTGGTAGGCAGGGGCAATATTCCCATTTTAATCATGAGGAAAGTGAGTCTTGAAGAAGTCTTTAAGGGCAAAAAGTGGTAGGACAGGTATAATGCCTCAGTTTGCTTTGCTTAATTAGAAGTAGTTTGCAGTTTTTTCCTGCTTCTTACAGTTTGTAGCGACTACCTGACCGAATATTGTTGATCTACAATGTGCCACTACTTGCATTCTACAGAGACAAAGACTCTAAGAACAAAGCATCTTGTCATTCTCCTCTTTCGATCATAGATATGGGAGAAAAGAAATCCTTCAATATGTTGTGCTACTTAATGACTATAGCCTCCTACTTTCCCAGTTGGAATGGACCCTTCAGTAATGTTTCCTTAAAAATAAGAAAGAGAAGGCCTTTCCTGGAAATAGAGTGGCTCTTTGCCCAGTAGAGTCCACTAGGAGGGTATTTAGTGAACTGACCTGGCTATCATGGGTATTATGCCAGTCGGGAAAGGTACCACTAGTGACTGAACATTAGCATGCTGGATTGCTTGGTCAGCTGATTAGGCAGGAGGTATGGAGGCCAAGGCTGTAGTTTCTTATCAAAGTGTGAGGTAGCTACCATTAAAGCCACTTTTCTTGTTCCTCTCATAATGACACTACTATATCATTTCTGATGACATCTCCATCAGCTCTCGACAGGTAGTAAGCTGCAAAGGGATACGTGACAAAGATATGTGGGTACCATATTATCATTGGGTGAAAAATGCAAAACCAACCAACCAAAAAGCCTCTCAAATGCATGTTCCTCCAAGAATGAATCTGTTGCACATTTGTATAGATCTAAGTCATGCTGTGCTTGGAACCCTCCGGCATAAGCAGACCTAGCTCTAGTGAAGCATCTCAGGGTCTACCCTGAAAAACATAGTTTATAGATCCAGCGTTCTTCATATTTAGGGGCTAAGAATTTGATGGAGTTCCAAGGCTATTATTAAGGAAGAAGACTGAATCCTTAGGTTTACACTGCAAGCACTTAACATCTTGGAGTCTCGGGATTAAAGTTCACCTGTAATTAGTAATTTGGAAATTCCAACCTTACCAAAATGGCATAAATTTAGAGCAAGTAATTTACTGAAATGGTTGCCAACATGTTTCTCAATTAGTTAACAGAAGGGGCAGGAGGCCACGAACATCTACCAGAGAAGAGGAAAAAAAATAACCCAAACAAATAAACTAGGAACTTTTTATTAGTCTTCTGTGGGTTCTGCTTGCTGGGTAAGACATTAACAACTCTCCTTACTGACAACGCCTGACTTTAATATGCCTCCCACCCCACCCCCTCTGCCGCCAACTCTATCCGGGAACTCCATTAGGATGGTGTAAACAGAGGCTGATTATCTAGAAACAGCCCTTGTTTTCTGCACGTGAAAGGCAACAAGTGCCCTTTAAAGGAGAGCACAGAACAAAACGCCGAGAACTCTACAGGCAGGTTTCCAAATTAGCTGCGCTGGGGGTTTTCCAAAACACATCAGTCCCTCACACCAAGTGCCCTTGGCTACCCTTGGCATACCCCGGGTGTGCAAGGAGGAGAAGCAGGCGAGTAAGAAAAGCCTGCGAGGCGAACTTCACAAGTAGGGTCTGGAGCTAGCGACGAGGGCGTGATGTTCCACAAAGTTCTTACATGCTTGGGGGAAAAGGGAGACCAAGGAAAACTGTTGGCTTCCCTCTAAAAATCCGAATCCCGCCTGGGGAGGCTGGGGGCTTTCGATCAGTCCCCCAACCCCCGCACGTTTCCGGAGCGCGCTCTTTCCCACAGAGGCACCCGTCCCGCCACGCGCCCTTGGGCAGGTGGGTGCCAGCCCCTGTGTGGAGGGTCGCCAAGCTGCAGGGCGCCGGGCGAAAACGCTCCCGGCTCGCCAGTCCTCCCAGGTGGCGCCCCCACCCCCACCCTGACCCCCGCTTGGGTCCCGGAGGAAAGAGTTGCACCGACCGTGGAGCTCGGCGGGCTCTTACAGCTGCCCGGTCCGCGCGCCGCGCCGGGGCGAGAGGAAGCGGAGCCGGCGAGGGTGGGTGGTGGCTGTCCCCGGCTCCCACGCCGCGGCAGCCCGGGAGGCACAGCTGCCTCCGCTTCGGAAAGCTTCCTGGGCACGGCTTCTCCCGGGAGGTCTTCCCGAGCCTCCAGCCTCCGGCCACCGAGTGGGACGGAGCCTCTCCACCTCCTGTCCGCAATCTCCAGACTAAAGGGATGACTGTACGCGCGCGCGCGCGCGCGAAGACTCGCAAGAAAAAGAAAACTCCAGGGGAACACGCCTCCCGTCTGTCCTCCCCTTCTCCTCGAAACACTCCCAGACCTTCGACTCCACTCTGGGACAGCAAGAACGTCCCAACCTTCCAGCCTTCCTAGGAGGCAGACACTGTAAAGCACAAAGCTGCCGCCCCCTCCCAGGCCCTGAAGGGCAACAGCCTTTTAACCGTTTCCTTCCAGACTGAAGTGGGGGTTGGCAGGCGAAGGAGGAGAGCAGTTTAACAGACAAGACTCAGAACCGAGGAAGGCCTTGCTGAGAAACCCATCCCCTTCACAGGCAGATTGGATCCGTGAGGGAAGGACTGCAGTTAGAGCCAGGGTCCAAGCCGGACGTCTCGTCTGCCTTCCCTGCCCCTTTGCTGGGCTTGTATGCCCCCTCTGAAGCTTACAGCAAGTTAAAGAACCAAACTTAGACAGCAGCTTACTGGATCAAGTTTTGCTTCTATCTTGTCTCTTGAAGCCTGCACCCCAAGGCTGCATACCACTTCAGGGCAAGGCAGGAGAGTCTGTGGAAGGCTCCAGTGCGTGGCTCAGAGAAACCTACGATTCCTCAAGAAATCCAAACACTGAGGGTACAGACACTGCAGAAAGTGGGTCTCAGCATCTGTCTGTGATGGAGATTTTTATCTTAAATTAGGAAGTAGGAGAGGAGATGGAGGACAAAAGCCATTGCCTGTGACACATGAGAAAAAACTGAAGGCTCCTTAGAGAAGCCTCTCCCTTGGGTCCTTCAATGCACTACTGGTGTGAGACATGTTGTGGAAATGTGAGTTTGGAGCTCTCGTAACTATTTCAGACTATTCTGGTTCTCTACTGCAGCTAAAGAAAGTCACCCTAAAACAGTAGTGGCTTAAAACAACAGCAATCATTTATTCATCAGTCTGCAGGTTGAGCAGGGCTTGGCTGGGACAGCTCATCTTTGTTGGGGCTGGAGGCTCCACTTCCAAGACAGTTCACTCACTCAGTGATACGTGTTGGTTTTTCTCCATGTGTCTCTCTACAAAGTGGTTTAGGCTTCCTCACAGTGTGGTGGCTGGGTTCCAAGAAGGAGTGTCCAAAGAGTCAGGAAGTTGAAGCTGCCAGATTCTTATGGTCTAGGCCTGGAGAATGGTACAGTGTTACTTCTGTGGAATTCTGTGCTCAAGCAGTCAAGGATCCCAGATTCAAGGTGATGGGATTTTGCTTCCATCTGTCGATGGAAGGAGTTTCAAAGAATTTTTAGGGGGCAACTTTTAAAACCATCAAAGAGATGCACAGAATATCACCATTGAAAGGGACCTTAATGGTCATCTAGTCCAATTGGACTAGGTATTACCCTGTGCATTAACCTATCTATAGCTTTCCATGACAGAGAGTCAGCCAGCCAGGATAACCAATAGCTTCTATAAGTAAGTGCCTTAGTTTGCATTGGAAAAAAAAAAGTGCCCCTTCAAGCACATGGCTTGCTCGTAACATTTCAGGGAAGAAAAGGTTATTGCTTCCTCCCAGAAAAGGCAGTTCTACACGAGGGTTCACACCTTGGAATATGAAACATGTACTGGATTTTAGCTCCTGCTCGCTCTATGACCAGACACACTTGGAGAGTACACAACTTGTACAACTGAACATCTTACTCTAGCCAGTCTTTGGTAGAGCATATCCATCAGCCCCTGCATCCTGAGAACAGCTCATCCCACTGTGGCACAGGTTAGGATGGCTATTACCAAAAAGCAGAGAACAACCAGTGTTAACAAAAATGTCTAGAAATTGGCACCCTTGCACACTGCAAGTGGGAAAGTAAAATAGTGCAGTCACTGTGGAAAATAGTATTGTAGTTCCACAAACAGTTAACATTAAATTACTTTATGATCCAACAATTCTGTTTCTGGTTACATACCCGACATAACTGAGAACAGGGACTCAAACAGATATGTGTACATCATGTTCATAGCAGCATTATTCACAATAGCCAAAAGATGGAAACAACCCAAATGTCCATTTACGGATGAATGGATAAATAAAATGTAGTGTGTATATATACAATGAAATATTATTTAGCCTTAAAAAGGAGTGAAATTCTGATACGTGTTACAATGTAGATGAAGCTTGAAGACTTCATGCTAAGTGAAATATGCCACATGCAAAAGGACAGGTGTTGTATGATTCCACTTCTATGAGGTGCTTAGAGTAGTAGTCAAAACCAGAGACAGAAAGTAGTACGGTGGTTACTGGAAGCTAGGGGGTTGGGGGAGGAATGTGGATGTATTGTTTAATGTGCTTCTGAGCATCAGTTTGGGATGAAAAAGTTCTAGAGATAGATGGTGGTGATGGTGGCACAACAATGTACTTAATGCTACAACCTTACGCTCAAAAATGGTTAAAATGATAAATTTATTTTATGTATATTTTGCCACACAAAAAAATTCTTCCTGACATAAGATGAAATCTGCCTCTGTATAATACCTACCCTATATGTTTATAAAATAAATTTACTGCTTCTTCTAAAAAAGATCTTCAAATACAAGTAAATAGGTATTATGTGGATCACCAGCATAGATCTGCCTTTGTAGCTGATTGGGATGGCCTCATTCTAGGTGAGAACGACATAAACTTTCCTTAGTTGATGGAGATTCATATTCTTCTCTGCTTTACTTTGGGGAAAAAGGCTTCAGTGGATTTAAATCTGTTTTCCTTTAAATTAACTGCTTCCACTAATCCCTCTCCCCATACACAAGACATATACACACCCCACTCCTTATTTTTTAAAGTTTATTATTTTGAGAGAGAGAGAATGAGAGCACGAGCAAGGGAGGGGCAGAAGAAGGGAAAGAGAGAGAGAAATCTCAAGCAGGCTCTGCACTGTCAGAACAGAGCCTGACATGGGGCTCGGTCTCAGGAACCACGTGATCATGACCTGAGGTGAAATCAAGAATCAGACGCTCAACCAATTGAGCCACCCAGGTCCCTACTCACCCACTTCTATATTCCCTGCTTTGTACTTTTAGTGAACATATCATTAGTATATTTGACTAAGTTTCTTAACTTGACTTCCAAGGATTCTTTCTTTCCCCGGGAAGGAAGGTAGGTTGGATGCAGATTTGCAGGTTTTCTGGGTTTCAAGGAAACTTTCTTAATCACACTTGACTTCTGGTTCAAGCAGCTCATAAGTGGAGCATTACTGCAATGGTAGTTACATTGACTTTTCTCAGTATCATTATTATTATTGATTTCCTGAATAATAATTGTTGAAAATTAAGAAGTATTTAAGATAGCACTTAAGAGCCAAGTTTTCATGTGTCCTTGGGGTAAAAGTTCTTACAAATTTAATTTTCTTGATTCAAATTTGCAAATCCATTTCACAATTGCTAATTCCTACGATCCTCAAAGTTGAAATGCAATAAAGGATTTGAGTCTCACAGTGTTTGCTAAAAATGTTGTGTTCACTTTAGAGTTCCCTGGGGGAAAGGAAACATGAAGGGGTCAGAGAAGAACCACAGAGATAAAGAAAGGCTGGGAAGCTGGTTGTGAGAGGAGACGGGGAGAAACCAGGGAGATGCACATCACTGCAGCCTTCACACTGGGCAGAGCCGTGATCAAGACTCACTGTTGACAATGAACATCACTGACCTGGAGAAGAAAAAGCAAGCCAGGTGAGTTTAAGTTTCATTTTTAACTGAAATTCACTACAGGCAGTTTTCTTATCAAAGGAAGTATTCCAAAATGCTAGCTTGTAATATGTTGCTGAAGATTCTAAAGTGTTTTCTCACTGCAGTAATGTTGCACACAGTAGTCAAGACTGCAGATTACCTCATCAAAATATACTCAATGCATAATGTAGCCCAATGTTTTATAAACAGCTGGTGGCCTCACTGGAGGGCTGAAAAATCATTCAGTTTTAGCATCACTGATGATTAAGCAAGCAGATATTAGTTGTCTTTTTATGACCTATTCCATCTGGTCACAACCATTGAACTTAAGTTAGGACTTCAGCTATTCCAGTTTTCAGGAAAGGTAGGAGATAGACATCATAACATATGCCGTGAGGAAATAAGTGGACAAACCCAGAAAGTGTGACATTTTAGAGGACAACTAGCCATGTCTCCTCAACAAGTCAGTCAATGAAAAAGGGGTCTTTTTCTAGATTAAGAGAGACTTAAAGGAACATGACAACCAGCTGCACTGTCCTGGGTTGGATTCTGGTTTGGAGAAGTCAGCTGTAAGGACATTTGTTGGACAACTGGGAAAATTTAGATTTGGACTAGATATTAGATGCTGTGAAGAACTTATTCATTTTATCAAATGTGAAATGAACTTTATTCAATGTGATTATTTGTGGCATATAGAAGAATTGTCTTATATTTTAGAGATTCTTTTAGTGGATATATAATTTACTTTTAACTACCAAAGCAGAAACAAAAATGACATGAGTTAAGAAAAAAAAAAAAAAAAAAGAATGTAAAGCACCTAGCCTTGGCACATCATGGGAGCTCAATAAGTGATAGCCCTTTTCACTTTCATTTGTCCCTTCCTTGTTTGCCCATGAGGGGAATGATATAGCAGAAGAAGAAGCTTCACATGGCAACATGAATGACTTTTAGAAGGTGACAGAGTAGTAGTGACTAAGGCCAAGGAGATCAGTGGCGTCTAAGGAGCTACAAGGTAAATGCTGGAAGGGGATCTGATATCTTCAGGTGGCTGTGAGAACAATCATCCATAGCAGAGCTTATGCAGCATGGCCCCAGGGATCCCCTTAATGACACAGGAGGGGCCTGAGGGTTCCAGATTTTGCTGGTGAGGACTAGAGGCCAAGATGGCTGCTGTGAGGACATCATTGTGACTTTGACTCTTGAATGTTCCTTAAGGTTGGTATGGGTTCAGGAACTGTGGTTTGCACGTGTAATAAAAGAAGACAAACAAAATATACCTAAAGCTTGAATACAGAGACTTAATCAAAAGAG